TATTTACATGATTTCTCTAAAATGAACTGTAATGGAAAGATTGGAGCAAAAGTGTAAGATGTATGTGAAAAATGTATGTATTAGTTTATTCTCTAAAAAATTACAGAGGTGCTACAACAGGTTGTACAAAATAACAGTAAAAGCCTGTAATAACTAGATATAAAAATCATGTGTTGGATACATCAGATTTTTGAATACCTAAGCAGTTCTAAATTAAATAAATTAAACCGATTTTATTCCATTTTATAGTAAAAATACGAAAATCAGAATAAAAAGTTAAAAATTTGGAAAATGTAAAACTCGTGAAAGGAAAGTAATCTACACATACCTGTCTGGCCATTCCATCTGTTACAGAATACGTTGTTGCCGTAGTTATTTTTTTTAACTATAAAATAATTTCTATCACTATAAAATAAACAAATTTAAGAAAATACTTGCAAATATGTTAATTGTGCCTTTTTCATGCAGAATGATTTAAAAAATATTATTTTTACATACTTTTCGTCCTTTTAAATTTTATCTATTAAATTTTGAATTTCCACCTTTATTTCAGGCAAAACCACTTAAAAAAACCGATCTAAAAAATCACTCGTCCAGCGGACTCAATCGGTTTGTTTTCGTGATTTTTCGATATAAAGAAGTTTTTGTGGAGACTAAAAATTTATCCCATAAAATTTAAAGCACTGATGTTATTACTTTGATCGTTTTTGTTTTTTTTTTTTATAAAACTTTGCTGTTTTAACTGACAATAAATTTAGTATAACAACTTTTATTAAATAAAACTCTATTTTAAATCTATGGTAATGCCAAAATTTCAAAATTATGATCATTTTACCATACAAAATTAGAATCGGTAATATTTATGATATAAACTAATCTATTTTGTATATTTATGTTAAATCACTTTAATAACATAAAACTATCTCAATTTCACTACTTAAACTTAACTTTTGTCAAATAAACATCATTTTTTGAATACCTAAACTGTTTAAATTAGTTGAACTAAGCAAAACTTATTCCATTTCATAATTAAGACACTGAAATCAAAATAAAAACTTTTAAATTTGGCAAATGTCAAACTTAAGAGAAACCGGCATTTGCCATATTGATTTAGTTTAAGACTATTAAAGAAAATGATATTACTATAAAATAAAAAATATTTATAGTATATTTAATAAACACTTGAAAAATCTTTTACCTACTGCAGACATGTTTATGTGCTTTTTTGACACAAAATGGTTCAAAAAATAAACTATTCAAATACCTACCGGTCGTTGATTTAAATTTTATTAGTTAAATTTAGAGTTTTCATACTCAAACGACTTTATTTCAGGCAAAACCGCTCAATTGCTTTCTTGGTGTTTCCAAATAAAAATATTTTCGTGGAAACTAAAAATTTCAACGATAAAATTTGGAGGGCTCGTGGTATTATCTACTTATGATAATATACATGTTGGTGTAGAAAAAAGTCTTTTATTTATCCGAAATTATCAAGTTATCTGTAATAAATGACAGTTGTTGTGTACAAAATTTGTTTCTAGGATGAAAAAGATTTATCTTAACAGTTCATGTTTTGTCGTTTTTCTATTGCTATTTACCGTTTTTCCTAATAAGTATAAACACTTTTGTTCAAATTGTTTTAATATTAAATTATTAAACATGTTAATAGCCAAAGTAGACAACCCGCTTTACAGCTAACGTGTATTGTCTAATAAAAAAAATTAATAAGTGTTAAATTTGTAGTTTACCAAAAGTTGAACCCAACATAAATTATGAATACGGCCTAGGACTCGCTTACCAAAGGGACTCCTTTTGGTGCTAGCTACAAATATTTTCATACGAATGATGAAATTCCAGAAACTTCGTAAAATTACAATTTATTGTGCAAAACGTTGCAAGATAACTTTTCATTTTTGCATATTTACACTACACTTTATTTACAAACACATAGAGGCTTAACACTGCCATAGGGTTAACATTACCTATTATTTATTATCATTTTAGTATATTTGCTTAGATAACTTATGTATTTATAAAAGAATAACTGCCATCGAGTACTCGAAGTCAAAAACGATATGGTCTTTATACTCTTTTTTACTGTTCAAAGAAAATATATGCATGTCTCATAGATCTAGAGTGTTAGGAGATAGGTTATGCAATAAATCAAAAAAATTTATTATAGTGAGCCGCCATCTTTTCATTTTTGGGATTAGCGAGCATGCGCAGAAAGGAGTAAACAGGTCTGAAGGTAGAATATTAGACAAAATAACTATTTTGTTTATATTATATGTGTCCTTTCTTTAACTAATATATTAATCAATTTATAGTGAGAAGAAAAATAAAAAACATCTGTAAACGTGTTTATATTTGGTGAATGTTAAAAAAAAATATTTATTTCACTACATCACATAAAATTTGCTTTTACATTTAGCTTTCGATATAAATTCATAAAAAGAAATAAAATCATTAATATTTTTTTTATAAATTAACTGATGATTTTGGGAAAAAGGTAGTTCTAATAAATTTTACAAATACCTATATACATTTGTGTATGTTACAACAAAAGTTATGTAGATTACATTTGCGAATAACATAAATCACATAAATAAAACTAATGTTACCTAATTCTTAAAGAAACTTAAACTTCTGGAAGACAAATCTTTATCAGGTAATCTAAAAAAGAAATACGAATATGTCAAATAAGTTTATAGAAAAATAAAACTTCCTAACTGTTTAAGTTATTATAGGCTTTATATAAAACAAAATTCTAGGATTAAAATAAAAAATGTACTATTAAACAATAACCTTTATAGCATAAAATATATTTATACTTCATAATTAATATGAGTTTCTATCAATCTTTTTGGGAGGGTGGAAACCAATGTCATCTATATCTCTGCTACAACCAGCAATTTTGGTTACATTATCTGAAGATATATCCCTAAAAGGGTCCAATTTTATTATTTATATCAGATTATTTTGATTCAAAGTAAATGTTAACATATTGAAGAACAAGGCTGAGGAGTATCCACCTTCCAATAACATTTAATTTACTTTAATCTATCTGACACATCCAAATATAAAATTTTCAGTAATGTGTGTATATACTTGCGTATAACAAAAAATACTTTATTAAATTACCTCAATTTTTTTCTTTGGACTATATTTGTTGACAGAAACAGTTTTAAAAGTACTTTGATGATAACTTTTTTATTGCCTGTCCTAATTATACCAGATTCGTAAAAGTGTTTGAGCAAATTCTATTTGTAGGGCTAATATTTGCGCTGGTACTTCTTTCAATAGCCCTTAACCAGACAGACTACCGTTTCTTTTCAAGACTAGAAAATGCAAGGTAAATTATAAATATACAAATATATGACAATAAATATAATCTCAATAAACAATTATGAGAGAAGACAAACCAAACATAAATTATTGAAAATATTACAATATATTAATACAGAGAAGTAAACTGGTGCATCGTAAATTCAATAGTAGGTTACCTCTAATATCATAATTCACGACTAAACATGTTTTAATCATATTAAAATGATAAAAGTAATACCAGAAAACACTCAGTAATACAATTTATTAATAAAAACTAATAAATAAACCAGAAAAACGATAAATAACACATACTTTGATTACTATACGGGGCAAGAGAGAGTTCCAACACGCCCAACATAGGGCGCGGCCATTTTGAACCCTATGACACAGTTTATAGCTAAATAATCAATCGCTCACTCTGCGTCGGCACTTTTTATCTCAATGTTCCAGTTTATACACTGCGCAACTCAGATAATACAATATATGACAACCGCCTACAATAAAACAGCAGTCTTCTGCGTATCCTGAATTTGTATCCCTGAAGTGGATGTTATTTTGGAACTTTCAACTGGTCCGAGTGAGCTAACTGATTCTTTAGCAATAAACTGTGACTCCAAAAATAATATTCACTGACACTGACAGCAGCAAGCATAATGTCAGGTGCGTTTTAATCATCCGCTACTGCTTCCGGAATTGTCGGTTCAGTCGTTCTAACCTGTCAGATTAAAACAAGAAAACCGACAATTCCGAAGCAGAAGCGGATGATTAAAACGCACCTATTAAAAATATTGCGCCAAGATGTAGGCAACACGTAATAAGGGTTTAAAATGGCGGAGTTTTCTATCTCCTTTTAAAAGGCACTCAGAAAGCTGCGCAGTACGACCATTCTCCGTATTGTAAAAGAAAATCAAAGTATGTGATAAATAATCATGACAGCTGATGCAACTGACACATGAAATTGAATTTATTCTACTGCGCAAACTCCTCAATCCCAAGTTTTACCAACATGGCGGCGCCCTCATTAAACGTATTTGAAATATATTGCAGATAATCATTGCCTATCTCCTAACACTCTAGATCTGTGGCATGTTTACGTGCCAGAAACTTGTAGGCCTTGAGTGGTTTCGCGCTGATGCAACTTAGTGAACGCGACTATGGTCACGTAGACGTTTGTTTACAGACGTTCATGACAGAACACCTGCGTACCGAGTACAGGACCGTCTATGAATATACTATGTATTAAAATGTGTTTTAAAACAATAAGAATAAGAAACTTAATTTTATTTAACTTTTAAGATAACGCATAAACTTTGCTGATAAAAACGAATTCAAATATTAACAGTGAAATGTGAATAATATTGCACACTTGCCTAATATTGGACGTGCCTAGATTGGACGTTGTATTTCAATCGCATTGTAGGCAAGTATTATTGGGGTTACTGATTATTTTTTTATTACATTCGATGAAGATCAGTACAACTATTGTACTGTTGTCCGACATCTTAAAATTCATAATCTATAAACCACACACAAAACCACAAAGCGCTTTCACAGATAACTGAGAAAAAATTGAAAGTTATCACATTTCTGTTCATTTTTCATCAATTTTATTTATTATGTTCAAATAAAACATAGGTAGAGTATGAATCATGGACGAAAAATAGTTTTTGTATGACTTATTTATTTTGTTTAAATTTAAAGTTTACAAGAATGTGCATTTTGTGCTAGCTTACAGTTCAGTAGATATAACTTTTCCTAATTTATTCATGAATTTAATTATTTCCTATTTTTTCTTGAATATTTCTCCCAAAAACCATATAATACTGAGCATATATCCAGCAGATAATAAGCAGAATGATATAAATACATCTTTAAGGGCCAGAGTATATTCCTTGGGAATTTTTTCATCTTTGCCTAATGTTTTTATATGTAACTCCATCCGAAGCCTAAAAATTGAGGTATATAATATAAAGGGACATCTTTTGTAATCGCAACAAGTGTCAAAAATATGTTGCATAATGTTTAACTGGTTACGAGAAGTTCATTAGGTCACTAGTTGTGAAAAGAAAAGAAAAGAAAAGAAAAAATAATGGGATAAATAAACTTTTTAAGCACATAATAAACTGTTGTTAACAATAATATGGTATAATATCCTTTATACAAATCTATACAAAATAACTAGATAGTAAAAGAATCTTTGGTTAAAACATTATTGACGAAAACACTTATTAATACATAAAAATGAGCAAAAAGTAATTTTTAAACATTAGTAAAATGAAGAGATAAATTGGCAAATGAAAATTGTGAGAAGTCGATATTCTACTTATTTATATATTGAAATAACACATAGGTGGGTTGCATGTAGAAAAATTAAATAAGAACAAATGTTTTTTCCTTCAACAAAATGTTTCAAATAGTACGAAGAACATATAGCCCAATCGGATTAGTATTTTAGATTCTGAAAAATTCGAAGCAGCAATTTTCCTTCGGAATTCGTTGGAGGGGGTATCTGGTAGTCTAAATTCAAAAAGTTGGGATTCCAAAGTTGTCGTTACCTCCGCCATCTTGATTTAAAGGGTTATTTTTTGTATCTTGAATAACTCATTTATTTTCAATTTTACACGGAAAATAGTTTTTACAAAAGTTATTTAAAATTAAATTTCCTACAATTCTGCTTTTTTTTGTACGATCGATTTTTTTCGATTTATACCCGAAAAGAGGGGGTGAATTTTTGGTTATAGAATAACTCGTTTATTTTCAATTTTACGAGAAAAATTGTTATAAACAAGGTTGTTTAAAATTAAATTTCCTACAATTCTGTTTTTTTTTGTACGATCGATTTTTTTGTATTTATCCCTGAGAAGAGTGGGGGTGAACCTAAGTATTGTATTGTCACGTTTATTATTGATGTTGTACCATTATTTTTTCTGTTTGTTTTTTTTTGCTGATTTTCAAAAATGTTATTTGGTACAATTATGATTCCGATTTTTTCTAAAGTTTATATTGTTGGGTCGCACGTTCACGGTAAAGGAAAAGAGGGGTGTAAATAATCAGTTTATCGAACAGTATAATTTTTACAATTGAAAAAATGAAATTTATTTTCTTTTCAGTACACTTTTAAAAGTCTATCGAAACGTCAATGACGTCTGTTTGGAACGTTTAGCCGATGGCTCGGCCAAGTTTTCGTGATAATACAATGATAAGAGTTTAGCCCCACTCTTCTCAGGGATAAATACAAAAAATCGAGCGTACAAAAAAATCAGAATTGTAGGAAATTTAATTTTAAACAACTTTGTTTATAACAATTTTTCTCGTAAAATTGAAAATAAACGAGTTATTCTATAACCAAAAATTCACCCCCTCTTTTCGGGTATAAATCGAAAAAAATCGATTGTACAAAAAAAAGCAGAATTGTAGGAAATTTAATTTTAAATAACTTTTGTAAAAACTATTTTCCGTGTAAAATTGAAAATAAATGAGTTATTCAAGATACAAAAAATAACCCTTTAAATCAAGCTGGCGGAGGTAACGACAACTTTGGAATCCCAACTTTTTGAAATTAGACTACCACAGACCCCCTCCAACGAATTCCGAAGGAAAATTGCTGCTTCGAATTTTTCAGAATCTCAAGCCTGTTCTTCACCTAATCCGATTGGGCTAATAATCAAATACGAGGCCTGACAATTAAATAATCAGATTGATTGCAAAAAAACGCATATTTAAAACTCAAGGTACATCGATATGGTCCCTGTTATATACGTTATATAATATAAAATAGACAATTTATCCTGTAGGATGAGGGAATTGTCACTGTCAGATTGATTTTAATTATTTGTCAGTTGTATTAGTAATACAAAATATATTACTCCCAATTTGTATTTCATTACCGTATTACATACCTAACAGATTGGCGACGAGGATAAAAGCGAATTCAAGGGGAAATCTAAATGGAAGAACTTTTACGTGAATTAGTTTCTACTTTGAAAAATGTACAGAGTCAACAAACCCTCCTTACTAAGCAAGTCCGAGAACATTCGGAAGCGGAACCTATCATTGATACCAGAGGTATTCCTTTACAACCTTATGATGAAATTAATGAATCCTACGAAGCATACCTACAAAGACTTCAAAATCATTTAGAATTACTAAATCTTACAGATGACACTGAAGAAACTGATAGAAAAAGCGTTCAAATTCTAATCAGCTGTATTGGACCTAAAATATATCAGACATTAACCAGTTTGACTGCTCCAGATCTTCCGAAAACAAAAAAATACAAAGAATTAATTACATTACTGCGTTCTCACCTTTGACCTAGACCTAGTGAAATTGCAGAACAGCACAAGTTTGCAATGCGTGTCCAACAAGAAGGGGAGTCTATCGCAAATTTTTAAGCGGAGTTAAAACTTTTAACAACAAATTGCAATTTTGTATGTGAGCACTGTCAGAAGTCAATTGTTAACTCCCATTTAAGATCACAATTTATACGTGGAGTTCGTTGTAACGAAACAAGAGAAAAACTGCTACAGCAAAGTAAAACCATTTCATTCGAAGAAATCGTTACAACGGCTTTATCTTTTGAAACGGCAAAATCTGAAAGCTTAGATATGCAAAGACCACAAAAGTTATATCAATCAGCGCAGGGAACTAACAGCCTAAATAAAGTAAAATACCCAAGAAATAGAAGTGGTAAAATTACGACCCAATGTTTCAAGTGTGGGAAAGTTGGGCATAGTGCAGATGAATGTTCCGTTCGTGACCTTAAATGCAGTTTTTGCGGGAAAAACGGGCATATACAATCTGTATGTTTTAAAAAGCGGTATCAAAATAGGCAAAATACAAACAGCGTTGAAGTTCTCGAGGAAGAAGAACAAGAGGATGTGTATACAATTAATTCATTAATACAATTAAACCCAATGGATATAATAATGATTACTCTAAATATAGAACATGTACCATGGACATTGGAACTGCCGTTTCCACATGCTCCAATAAACATTTAAAAAAACATGTTCGAAATTAATTTTACTAAACACAAACCTAAAACTAAGAATTTACACAGGTGAAGTAATTAAACCATTAGGAGTTTGCAATGTTAATATACAATATAAAAATCAAATGGTTTCAGGAAGGTTATTTGTTATACGTGATTTAGTGTCCTCTATATTAAGTAGAGAATGGCTGAGATTAATTAAACTTGATTGGTCAGAAATATATAATTTGGAAGTTTCTATTGAGCATCATCAAGTCATTCTTTCTGAATTATTTAAAGAATACAAAGACTTATTTTCTTATGAAATTGGCATGATTAAAAATTACAAATGTTCCCTAAAGTTACATGAAGCTGCAAACCCAGTATTTATTCGATCTCGACCGGTACTGTATGCATTAAAGGAACAGGTGGAAAATGAAATTGACCGACTTGAAACTGCAGGCATTATTGAAAAAATTACCTATTCATCTTGGGGGACTCCTGTGGTTCCAGTTATAAAAAAATGGCCCAATTCGATTGTGTGCTGATAACAAGGTCACTATTAATCGCTATTTACTAGATGATAACTATCCAATTCCCAGAATAGAAGAAATTTTCACAAACTTCTGCACTCTTGATATAAATCAAGCGTATTTACATATGGAAATGGACGAAGAAAGTGCTCTACTGCAAGCAATTAATACATCAAAGGGCACGTACAAGGTAAATCGTCTAACGTTCGGGGTAAAAGTAGCACCAAATACTTGGCAAAGATTCATTGACCAAACATTACAAGATCTGCAGTGTGTAGCGTGCTTTTTCGATGATGTCGTCGTGCAGGGATGATCACTGTCTGAACTAATTGGGAGACTTCGACAAGTTTTTGATCGATTACGAGATAGTGGATTACATCTAAATGAAACAAAGTGTCAATTTTTCAAAAATTCAATTTCCTATTTAGGACATACCATTGATAAAGAAGGACTACATCCAATGCAAGAAAAGATCTAGGCTATTTCGAAAAGTTTACCACCGAAAAACATTACCGAACTCCGCACTTTTCTTGTTCTAATTATTACCATTCATTTATTCCGAACTTAGCTACAAGATTACATTCACTGCATCATTTATTACGGAAAAATGTAAAATTCGAATGGACAGCAGAATGTAATTCTGCATTTATCAAACTGAAAGAAATCATCACAAGTCCAAGAGTGTTAACACCTTTTAATGTCAATCTTCCTGTTACTTTAGCAATCGATGCATCACCAACAGGCTTTGGCGCTGTTTTATCAAATATTATGCCAAATGGTGTTGAAAGACCCATAGCTTTCGCTTTACGATCACTAACAAAGGCAGAGAATAATTACAGTCAGCTTGATAAAGAAGCTTCTGCTTTAAATTGGGGACTTAAAATTTTTTTTCAATATTGTTATGGTAGAAAAATTATCCTAATAGTAGACAACAAACCTTTAGTAAGAATATTGCATCCAGAGAAGAACCTTCCAGTAACTACAGCTTTACGATTAGTACATTACGCAAATTTATTAGCAGGATTCAACTACACAATTAAAATTCGACCTACTGAAGAACTTTCCAACGCTGACTACTTATCCAGGCCTGCCACTGATAAACATATGTCGGAAGAAATTGATGTGGACAGAGCATTTTACTTAAATCAACTAAATTCAATTCATGTTACGAAAGATGAAATAAGAAAAGAAACCCAACTAGATACTGAATGCAGGAAACTATTTTTAGAAGTTCAGTCTGGAAAAGGTGATATACATTCCCTTCATGAATATTCGATACAAGATGGATGTATTTTTTATGGCATTAGAGTGATTATTCCGACAAAACTTCGTAAAAGGATTGTGCAACAGTTACATGAAGCCCATACTGGAGTAGTAAAGATGAAAGCTATAGCAAGAAGCTACATTTGGTGGCCTGGAATCGACAAAGACATTGAAGAAACAGTCAAATCATGTGGAAATTGTTCCCTAATACGTAATAATCCTGTCAAAGTACCAATTTTTTAATTATTGTGGATGCTTACACCAAATGGTTTAAAGTTGTTCCAACAACGTCTACCCCCTCAACAGCAACTATTGATATTTTAAGGGACACTTTCGCAAGATTTGGATTGCCAGTTAAAATTGTTTCTGATAATGCCAGGCAATTTAAATCTTCTGAAATACTGAAATTTTTTAAATAAAACGGTATAAAATATAAATTTACGGCTCCCTATCATCCTTCAACTAACAGACAAGCTGAAAGATATGTACAAATACTTAAACAAAAACTACGTGCCATGATGGATGAACCACAACCACTTAATCTGAAGTTATGCTGGTTACTTATGCAGTACAGAAAAACACCAAGTAGTTCAACTGGCCTGAGTCCTGGAGAAATGATGTTCAAAAGGCAATTTAGAACACGTATTGATCTTGTTAAGCGTAATATTGAACAAGACAGTCGAGAAATAGCTAACGATAGGGATCCAGTTTTAAAAACCTTTAAAATCGGGGAGCAAGTACAAGCTCGATTTTATGATAATAATAATGGAAGTTCGGCGTAGTTGCAGCAAGAAAAGGGTTGTTGCACTATGAGATTGTGACTGACGGTGATAAGGTTCTTAGGCATGTTGATCAACTGCGTCCTTCGAACTTTTGTGGACTTACTTCTAAAACTACTACTCCAGTTTCTCCACCAACAACAACTTCAAATATTCCAATCCAATCCGAATATAATAATTCCACTCCTTTAGGTGAAAAGATTTCAGAATATGAGAGGGACGATTCAACATCATTGCCCGAAACGCAAACAGGAGATGGAGATAGAGAATCTAACATCGTTGTACGCAGATCGACAAGGGTACGAAAGGAGCCAGAAAGATTTACTCATTGAATTAATGACGAGGAGAACTGTTATATATGTACGTTATATATTATAAAATAGATGATGAGGGAATTGTCATTGTCAGATTAATTTTAATTATTTGTCAGTTGTATTAGTAATACAAAATATATTACACCCAATTTGTATTTCATTGCCGTATTACATACTTAATAGTCCCTTTTAAAATACTCCCCTTAGCTGCTACATACTCAGTCCAGCGCTTTTTTATTTTTTCGTAACACTTCTAGAACACTTCAAACGGCAGCCTTTGGAGTACCCTTGTCACCAGTTTCGGCGCAAGAAACATATTTAGCTGGAGAAATAACAATAGTATGAAAAAAGCAAATAGATCAATCCATAAAGGAAAAATATGAGATTAATCACACGAAGTTCAGGTTCACAATGTTGCCACATGCGCAAAAAATAGTATCATTACTTAATTGTCAGATCTCGTACAATCAGAAAGATACATTTTTCTGAAGAAAAATTAATGTACTCGATAAGTTATAAAGTTATTTATCATCATGTTTATAAGCATCTTACTGTTTTTGTGTTTGGACCAAAGAGACAGTAACAATGGAATGATAAGAAGCCGATATGGCAAGGTTCTTAAAAAAATAAATTTGCGGATATATTCACTTTATCTTCTAAGCTTTCTATGAAAATATGAAGATGATGTAAAATGAAATGGGGGAATACACTTCGGTAATTAAGCATGTGCCCATATGAGAAACATGCCATAATTATAAAATACAACAATTTTGGTTACACAGATTGTTAATATAAAGACAAATAATTAATAATAGATTTTGATAAAAAAAGTATAGACAAAAAATATAAGGGATGGAGTATGTATGATTAAAGAAATTTTATAAAAAATTAGCTGAATAACATTTAATTATATTAATTATATTTAATTTTTTTATCTCTGTCTAGAATTGACCTTTGTTAGTAAAACTAAACAATATTGTGTTTTGATAAAATGAAAATAAAGACAGTCTCAGAGAAAATAAAAACAAAATGGTAGATATTTTTTTCTGCAGTCACAAAACCATTTTTAAAACATCTTACCAATGTATATAAAGGCCAGCTTGCTCTATGAGATCAACTTTTTCTGAAAACTTTTCTACTAGAAAAGAATTTTTCAACAATGGCCAAAAGTGAATTTGCAAGCCAAATACTCGGTTCGATGAAAATTTTATTTCACTTTGTCGAAATCTTGTAAAAGTACAAAAATGCACCTAAAAACAAATAAAACATAAAAAATAAAGTATACCTATTATATTTGTACATACCATGTATCTTATAGTATGCATTTCTCCAATAACTGCAATTCTGTTATCAAACATTCTTTCAAATGCCTCGCATGTATCAATGTAATACGAAGACTTTGGTATTAATTTTTTACAGAATATCGAAGGAACTCGCTCGCACTCTTCTTTTATATAGAAGTAGTCATCCAAATAGCACTGTAAATATAAAGTTATTTCAATAAGAAAACTCAAGTAAAAATTATCAAAGATTTTCTACAGAAATTGGACATCATGACAGACAGAGAGGAAAATACAATTCTAAAAAGTATTGATTTACTGAAACTCTCTAGAACCAGAAGAGGATTATTGATACGTGTCATAGAACTTGAACAAATTCTAGAGAGCAAGAGGGTTTATATCATATGCACAATATGCCAACCCGTTTACTGCGCACACCACCCGACGCTTGGGTGCTCTGAAGTCCTTTTCACAATAACCTAATTGTATTAAAATGTAAAGCACACTGAATAATTTAATAACGTATCGCTTTGTAACACAAAAAAGTTTTAATTCAATAATTTTAATTTATATATTCCAATAAATTAAAAATATCATGCCTTCACTTAGTTATTTGCACAATGTTAACCCGTCTTTCTGTCCGCTGCATGCCTGCTGGCTCCTCCGTGTGCCCTCTACCACAAAGAAAAACAATATGGTTATGGTTGTCGATGACATGTGAGTGTGAGTATTTTTATTTATTTTAGTATTAGATATGTTATTTATAGAATTATTTAAAATTAAGTAAAGGTATTTTGATGCTTTACAGAGTCTTTACCAGGGGAAATTCATTATAAATAAATAATTTCTAATTATTGTAATAGTACATTTTATATATCCATTTCTAACGTAAATTTTAAAAACAAATATTTTTTTAATTTTCCTTCTGATATTGATCAAAGAAAGAAATGGTGCTACATTTTAAATTCAAAAGGAAAGATTCAAATAGAAAGACTTGTATTTCATGCAAAACTTTTTAATTAATAAATGCAAAGCGTTTTCGGCATTGTGCCACAATCAGTGCTTATCTACAAAAATTGTGGATGTAAACTTACAATTTATAAATATGTGTAAAAATAAAATCTGAGTAAGACTTTTAAGTCAAAAGTTAAAAAGATATATATATATATATATATATATATATATATAAGGTAATTTTGAACAAATTAACAATTAAAAGATAACAAACAAAGTGACATAAGCCAGTGTTGGGAATAGTGAGTTTGGAATAAGCCCCTAAAAAATCATATCTGATCTCCAGAAGCAAGTTAGCTTGTGTGGAACTAAGGAATTATACCACCTTCACTATTCGCATTGAGTACAGTTGAAAACAAGTTAACTAATTAGTTAAAAAATTAAATTTAGAATACAATAGTTAATATAAAAAAGGTTAAACGCAAAAGGCCAAAGGAAAAACTAAAGGTTTTTTTCCTTTACATTATAATTGTAAAAATGTCTACCTACTGTCCACAAACAAGTATATCCACCAAGTTCTTAGTCATCCTCGCTCCCAAAATAAAATATTTCTGGAGATTCACAACTTGCTAAATCATAGTTATTACTATTAGTAATATTTTCAAATTTAAATAGATTTATACATTCATTTTAATATTGTTTAACAGACTGTTGTAGATAATCACTGATGATGGCACAATGCCAAAAGCACTTTGCATTTATTAATTAAAAAGTTTTGCACGAAATACAAGTCTTTCTATTTGAATCTAAACTACGTGCACACAGCTGTCAACCTTTTTTTAGTTATTTTAAACATTCCACTTAAAACCCCGGTGAATGACATTTTTGTCTTTCATCGTGCTTGAAACCAATCATAAATTATGAGATAATTTTGATACAAAATCAATTACAAATCGTTCAAGAGTAAGACTGCTATGATTTGTTTTGCCTTTAGCTCCCTCAAAACCAGATACAGCAAAGAAAATAGTACTGTCTGTTCGCTATACCTACGCGGGTTTCGGATTAAAAATTTTATGAGTATTTCCAGGTAAGTACCCGAAAGTTTGACCTGTTCTTTGGGGAAATATCAACTGGTTAAATGAAATGAAAAATAATGTACAACTTTTTAATTAAATAATAATGGAGAATATTTTGTGTAATTGAGAGCATAATTAAACTTCTTCATTTTTTTTTTTTTTGGCATAGGCACATTGCCATTCAGCCAGACACAGATTCGTCCATAATTAGAACTACCCAAGAATATTTCCTAACAGCAAGAGGTATAAGAAGAAGAAGAAGAAAAAAAAAATAAACAATATAGGACGGGGACACTCGCTTCTCGTCCAGGGACCCATCTTCATTAATGGAGTCTAATGTGGCTATTATAAACCTAATAATAATTTTATATTACACTTCACACAGAAAATTTGGTCTATGTATAATAAGAGGCTTATTTAGCTCAAATAAAATATTTTCTAACATAAAAATCTGTTCCATGTAGAGAATTTCAAATGAAAATAAAAAAATTGAACTTGCCAACAAAAATGAAAATCAGTCATTATCATCCAAAATATCATAATCGTCATCATCATCACTGTCATCACCATTAATTGTTCTTATGATTGGACTTATTTTGTTTATTTTATTTTCACGAGTCCACCAATCTTCTATTAGTTTCTCGCACTTGGATATACAGTTCCGCCACACTTCTGGAGTTGCAATTGAAAGTGCTTTTCGGCAAGTTTCCCGAACTGCGTCGTCACTACGTCACTATAACCATTAGGCCCAATATCGTTGTCATAATATTGTTTTGTGGGATTAAACTGGCAATGATACAGTGGCAGACGTAAAACTTAATGACCGTAATGTAGATATTTGTTATCGATGATATCAGTAAAACCTTGATTTGCTATAATAACACGTTTATTATCCAAAGAACATCATAATCATACATGTGTATTACATTATATATGGAAAACCGCAACTAAGTCAGATATGAACCGGAAACACACTAAGACAATTGACACATGACTTGTCTTTCAGTAGTGCCAACTATTAAGTAGGTTTTTAGCGATTACATACAACACGTAACTTTCAATAATCTGATCCACAACAAAGGTTTTTGGTTTTGCGTAATAATTCTGATTTTAATATATATTGAGGAAATGCTGTATGTTCCTTTGTCAACCATTCTTTAATTTTATCAACAGTCCAAGAATTCGTTGGACTTTTGTTTAATACTTCAGAATGGTAAGGTGCATTGTTTAAAATAATTACGCTGGGCTCACTTAAACCTGGGAGAAGTTTTTTATGCAACCATTTTACAAACATTTCTGTGTTCATATTATCGTGATAGTCAATGGATTTTGATTTAGATGAAAATACTAAATCAGCACCTTCTATAAAACCCGATTTCCCTCCTGCGTGTAAAATTATGTGTCGCTTCCCTTCTCCATCGGTATGTTTGATGGACTTTACGTTATCATCTTGCCATATTCTCTTGGTTGCACCCCTAGAAAATATCCATGTTTCGTCTAAATATATAAAATTCGCCCCTTCTTCTTTAAATTTAGAATATTTTCTTAGAAAGTTAATTATCTTGTGCATGACAGAACTTCTTTCACAAAGGGTCTTTCTGTTATCCTCCTTTGGAAATTTGAAAGCCAAGTTATGTATCACTTGCCATGGATCAAATTTTGAAAAAGTGATTTCAGATGAACATATTTAACGTTTACCTACCCGTACATGTTATTTATTTCATTAAAAATGAAAAACAATCTGAAATTTTGAATGGCTATATTTCGTATTAGATAGAAAATAATTGCTAATGTAAATTATTCTTATACATTACCGACAGAGTGATAGCGTAGTTGATATTACAGAGTAGGATTAGTTTAACCACCCGCACCCACAGGTCGCTGAAAGCAAACTTGTTGCCAAATTTCTACAAAGACACGGCAACTCTTAACTATCCTTCCTCCATGCTAGAGAGTATTCGCGATTCAAGCTAAGTGATACGCCCTCTGGAGGAAATTAGTAGAAGGTCCCTATAAGTAGGATATCGTTCAGTGTTGCCAGAAGCAGCAAAATTTCGTTACGTCGTCGGATTTTAGTTCTGGAAGATATGGATAAGACCTTTTATTTAAGAATCAAAATTTGTGTCTAGTAATATGTAATCATACTCTATATTTATTTAAGGATTTTTTTATAAAATCGATTTATTATATTGATTTTTTTTTAAATTTCAGTTCATTTATTTTGTTTTAAAATCAGTCAGAGACAAAATCAGTTCATCATTTGGCAACATTGGCGTTCATGTTTATTGTTTACATTTTAATTTGTATCAATTAGAATTCGAGTGAATTTAGAGATGGATAGTAACAAATCCGTAAATGTACATAACAGTTACAGATTTGCTAATATCCATCTCTAAATTGCAGTCTAACACCAGAACCACCTAGAACTTTAGAGACGTTGTAACCGAACTTCGATTTTAGTTCAAGGATGACTTACCCAAGTCCGAGTCAGGTAAGTTCTGTTTATAAATACGGACCTCAGAAGTCACACTTGAATAACAACGGGATATTAAATCACATTTGGTATATTATCAGGTTAAAGTATAATTAAAGGAAGAAGTAAAAAAGTACAACATAATAAATATCTAACCAGATGGATATATTCGATCAACGGATTCACTGAAGGCTTTTAGACTTCGAGCGCATCAAAACCGAAATTCTAAATAGAAAATTTCAGTGCAGTAGCGACTTACAGGGGAAAAAGTATCTGTAATGTGAAAAAGGTGGGTTGCCCCCACGACACTTAGGCCTCACTCGGTCCATGGTGCATCTTCCCAAATTGATGGGGTTTCTTTTAGCTCGTAAGTCAGCTTCCAGATTTTATGTACTTAACAACGTCGCCAAAAGGTACTTTTCTTATATTAACCGATGTTATCGGCCGGTGTTAGCCAAAACTCGCCGAACACAATTTTTCTCATAAATGAGAGCATACGTGTGTGAAGTTAGCATCTCAAATCTCAGCATCTAATATTTTAAGCAGAGTTCTAATAGTATCCCATATAGTTCTATAGTTCCTGTTACTTTTTATTAATAGTTCTGTCGAATTTAGTACCAAAAATTCCATTTTAAAAATTGAGATGCTAACGGCCGGAAGTTAGCATCTCAATATAATAAATTAAATAACATACA